GGCCTCTCACTGCTGTGGCCTCTCCCGTTGCAGAGCACAGGCTCCGGACGCGCAGGCTTGGCGGCCATGGTTCACGGGCCCAGCCCGTGGGAAGATCCCGTGGCATGTGGGATCTTCCCGGACCGGGGCACGAACCCGCGTCCCCTGCATCGGCAGGCGGACTCTCAACCACTGCGCCACCAGGGAAGCCCGAAAAATGGTATTTTTGCAAAACTGAGTCTTTCCATCCACGAACATGGAATTTTTTTTTCCATTTATGCATGTCTTCTTTTACATACTTGGTAAGTTTTCCAGCTTTCTCTGGATAGGTCTTTCACATTTGAAGGGGAGAGGCTGCATACATACACATGGTACTAAGAGTTAGGGAACAGTCTGTAACCAGGAGACAATTAACCAGGAGACAATTTCTGCAAAAAGTATAATAGAAAGAGTGTATAACATGGTGGTGAAGAGCAAGGGCTCTGGACAGGAAACATGGGTCCAAAGACTGGCTCTGCTACTACAGAGCTGAGTAGCTTTGGCAAATTACTTAACCCTCTAACCCTCATTTTTTTCTCATCTGTAAAATGGATTCAAAAGATTGTTTAGAGCTGAGCTGTCCAATACAGCCAGCCACTAGCTACATGTGACTATTTGGATTTAATTAAAGTTAAAATTAAACAAAAGTAAAAATCCAGTTCTTTAGTTGCACTAGCCCCATTTCAAATGTTCAGTGGCGACTGTACTGGACAGTGTAGATATAGATATCAGTCCATTATTGCAGAAAGGTCTGTTGGTTTAGGGGATCAAATGATATAAAGCATGCAAAAGGCTTAGCATAGATCCTGGTAAGCAACGAGAGCTCAGTAAGCATTAGCCAAGATTCTTTTATCTATCTATCTATCGGCTGTGTTGGGTCTTTGTTGCTGCGTGCAGGCTTTCTCTAGTTGTGGTGTGTGGGGGCTACTCTTTGTTGCGGTGCGCCGGCTTCTCATTGCGGTGGCTTCTGTTGCGGAGCACAGGTTCTAGGCAAGTGGGCTGCAGTAGTTGTGGCTCGCGGGCTGCAGTAGTTGTGGCTCACGGGCTCTAGAATGCAGGCTCAGTAGTTGTGGCGCACGGGCTTAGCTGCTCCACAGCATGTGGCATCTTCCCGGACCAGGGCTTGAACCTGTGTCCCCTGCATTGGCAGGCGGATTCTTAACCACTGCGCCACCAGGGAAGCCCCTAGGCAACATTCTTAAGAATAATGAAGCCACGGTGACGGTTCACGCAGCATTATTTACAACAGCCAAGCTATGGAAGAAATCTCAGTGTCCATTGACAGATGAATGGATAAAGAAGTGGTATATATACAATGGAATATTACTCAGCCATAAAACAAAACAAACAAACATAACAAAACAGATACAGACTCATAGCTACAGAGAACAAACTGGTGGTTTGCTAGAGGGGAGAGGGGTGGAGGGATGGGCAAAAGAGGTGAACGGGACTAAGAGGTACAAACTTTCAGTCATAAAATAAATAATTCACGGGGAAGTAATGTACAGCAGCAGTCCCCAACCTTTTCGGCACCAGGGACCTGTTTTTTGGAAGACAATTTTTTCCACGGACAGTGGGAGGAGGGGATGGTTTCGGGATGATTCAAGCGCATTACGTTTATTGTGCACTTTATTTCTATTATTATTATGTTGTAATATATAATGAAATAATTATACCACTCACCATAATGCTGACAGGGGGTGGAGCTCAGGCGGAAATGCGAGCGATGGGGAGCGGCTGTAAATACAGATGAAGCTTCGCTCGCCCGCCCGCCACTCACCTCCTGCTGTGCGGCCCGGTTCCTAACAGCATGGACCGGTACCAGTCCGTGGCCCGGGGGTTGGGGACCCCTGATGTACCGCATGGGGAATATAGTCAATAATACTGTAATTACTTTGTATGGTGACTTATCATGGTGATTTTATAATGAATAGAAATATTGAATCACTATGTTGTACACCTGAAACTAATATAATGTTGTAAGTTAATTACACTTCAAATAAATAAATAAACAGAAGCAACAGTGAACCCATATTCTCAGCCACACCAATGACACACCATTTAGCTAAACGTAAGTTCAGGGGCAAAGAAGACTCAGTGATGTTCTCTGCTCTCAAGAACCAGTATCCTGTTCACCAGCTCATTAGCAGGTGGTTCCAAAGCCTATTCTTTAACCACTCTTTTACAGCAGGTTGATAAAAATTTTCCATGATCTCAGGGAACAAGGAGACCTTCCATCAATGTGACAACCCAGCACAGTTCTTGAGAGGAGCAGGAAGGCGAAAGGGACTGTCTCTGAGTCAGTGACGGGAGCGTTTCAGGAGCTCTGCCAACAGCTTGAGCTCACACTCCGGGAGCTGGTCAGAAAGCACCACATAAAGATGCACAGCTGAAGTCTTCTTCCCCCGCCATGGAGAGGCAGCTGCGAGGAGCCACTCACGGCACCAGGAAGGTCACAGGCTCTGAAAGTGGGAGGAGAGCAAACATCGAGGCCTCATTTGAGGGCCCCTGAGCAAGCGAATCAATGAAATGAGGATAATGGACAAATTTTATTCCAAGTTACTCTTCAGTGACACACAATACTTGCTGGTGGAGCTACCACTGGCTGTAATTAGAGCCATCATTTATTGAATGCCTGTTATGTGCACTAGGAAGGCAGCAGATAACTTGGATTTTT